GGAGACCCTTGAGATGGGACTCCAGCCATGGGGTTATGCATCTGTGTAGCACCCCAAAGACCCACTTGGAGCAGTGGGCAGGAGCTCTTCAGGATCCTGGCCTCCTCGAAGAGCAGACTGGGAGGTCTTAGACTATGGTGGGGTAGCGGGAGAAATGGAAAGAAAAGGAACAAGAATGGAAAAGAAAAGCCCACCCACCGTGGTCAAGGAGGTGGAAGAGTTTGGGAAATGCGGGGATTGAGGGAAAGTTGATCAAGGTGCCGTTGCCATCCGAAGCAGACTCAGAAGAAGGTGTGTTCTTCCCACGAAGCTGGCGCTCCAGGTCCTCTCCCCACAGAGGGGAGGTGTGGGGGGCCGAGGACTTGCCAGGCAGGCGGTGGACAAGGTCGCCCTCACCTTACGTTCCGGGTCTCTGGCCTGGAGCAAGAGGCCGTAGCCCTGCCTGAGAGGGGGAACAAATTGTGCCCCCCCCGGGGCCAGGACTGGGGCTACTAGCAGCCACTAGGAAGGGGCGCGGCCGGAGCGGCAGCACCGCCGCTCCCGCCCCCCTTGGCCGGACGTGGCGCCTCCCCTGCAGCGGCGGCCGGAGGCTGGAGGCTGGAGGTGGGGTGGGGAGCCCGAGCCCGGGGCTCTGATGTCACTGCGCGGCCGGCCGCGGCCGCCCAGGAGCCTCTCGGGCTGGAGCCTCAGGTGCGCGGCGGGCGGGGAGGCGCTGCGTGGGTCCGCTTCCCGGAGGGTGGGGGGCCAGGGGGACGGGGCGACGGCAGAGAGGGCTGCGGGGCAGTGGGGACATCGTCCCGTCCCGACCGGTCCGCTCGCGTCCAGTCTGGTGGCGCCTTTGCTGTCTGCCAGGGGTCTGGGAGGAGACGGACCCCCCCCACCGGCGGTGGCAGGCGACGCCACTCAGAGACCCCCTTCCACTCCTGCCCTTCGGTCGAGGAGCAGCTGGAGATTCGGGGTCCCTCCGGTCCCGTGTCATGCAGGGCCCCTCCCTGCTCTCGATCTGAGCCTTTCTTCCCCGACGGTGAAGCCGGCAGGAAAGGCCGAGAAATGCGCCGGACAGCGGCCATCCGTTCTCCCGGCGTCCCCGGAGCCCCCTTTCCCGCCGCTCCGCGTGACTCTGCCGCCCCCTGCGGTCGCCGGGGCCCGCGTCTCTCTTCGTCCTCGCGCCCCTCGACTCTCAGAGCCTGAAGCACCAGGTACGTGGTCCGCCCACGGCGGCGGCCGCCTCTCCCCGGTGCCACCCGCGTCCTGCATTTCGTGCGCGCCGCTCCCAGCCTGGCTGCGAGATCGCGGAGCCGCGTACACCAGCCGCCCCCTCGAGGCTGCACGGGGTGCGCTGTCTGAGGGACAGGCCGGGAGAACGGTGGGACAGGGACAGTAAAAGAACTCGCCAGATCGCCTATCCAGACAGATCTAGCCTGGGGTTCAAGAGGCGGCCCCGGACCCTGAAACTCTGTCTGGCAGGGAGGTCTCGGTGCATTCTCTGTCCCCATGGTACTGAGGGAAGACCAGGCTCAAGGGGTGGCCTGGACTGCCCCCCACAGAGAGGTCAGATGGTCCTTGAAAGAGGGACTATTGTGTGGCGTTGGAGTTTGTCTGTTCTGCACCATTCTGGTCACCCTTCTGGATTTGCTCCCATTGCCTCCGTATGATTTTTCTTTTCCCCCTTGGAAACTGTCTTCATGGACTTGGCCAACCCCTAACTAAAATCCAGGGTCTGCTTGCTTGCCTGGTCCAACCTGTCCGCGGAGCTCCAGACTCACAGTCCAACTGCTGCCAGTCTTGCCAAGGTCACAGAAAGGCCCTCCAACCTTGGTCAGGAGGGTGCCTCCACCTCCCCAACCCGAGTCCTCTACTTCTGAACTCATCTTCCTCTCTTGCTCTTTCCTGCAGGTGAAAAGTATCTATGAGACGTTCCCCCACCCCCAGAACCCCAGTCTGGTGATTTTCTAGTAGGCACTCCAGGCTGCTCTCCCCTACCACTTTTGTGAGGCCTGGTAAAATGGTTGAGAACTTCAGGACTTCCGGTCCACAGCTGGCATAGACTGCAGCTCAGCCCACAGCTGGCAATGCTGTCCCTGGGGTTCCTAAGACACAGAGGCTGGATGGACTGCAAAAGGGCCCCTGCAGCCAGACAAGTCTGTACTGAGGCCCCCAAACATACACCAAAGCAGTGGAGTCCTGGTGACATAGCCGGTTCTGCAAAAAGCACACTGTGAGCGCCCTGGATGGACACCAGCTTGGGGGGACACCAGTGCAAAAGCATCCTTGACACAAGTTAGGGCCGACAAGGAAACAGATTTGTACACATTCTTATTGTCCATTCAAGCTGTTTCTATCTGGCAAATCCACAATCCTTTGTTAACACAGTAACTTCTAAAGAAGATAGATTTTCATGGCCTCTTTTGAGAGAGTTTTTTTTTTTCTTTTTTCTTTTATTGGCCCTCAAGCTTGCTAGGGTAGGTGCTCTACCACTTGAGCCATAGTCCCCTATTTTTGCTTTATTTTTTAGGTAGGTCTCATGTTTTTGCCTGGGATGGCCTCAGACTACTATCCTCCTACCTATGCCTTCCAGTAGCTGGAATTATAGACATACACTACTACCACACCTGGCTTGTTGATTGAGATGGGGGGATCTCATTAATTTTTTTTCCTGGGCTGGGCTTGAACTTTGATCCTCCTGATCTCCACCTCCTGAGTAGCTGGAATTACAGGTGTGTACCACTATGCTCTGTCCTTGAGGGAGCATCTTTTTATTTAGTGATCCCTGCCTATTGGCAAGCCAACAGGGGCAGACATGGATGGCATGAACCAGCCCATTAGCTGGGCTTGGAAAGACTAGGACGAGAGAGAGAGAGCACTGACATCTGAGCAGCCAGGATATACTTCTTAGGGGAGGTATCTGTCCTAGGAGCTGCCACTCAGAGTAGCTTCTGAAGTTTAAAGAGTGGAACCACTTTGCAAAAGATCCCCAAGCAAGAGCACCTATAGGGCTGTGCTTAATGAGCCCAGATAGTTGACGTCATGTTCTGGCCTCAGGTCTGCTAAAAGCCCCCCATGCAGGTGGCAAGTACTGCTTCTCCTCTCTCTCTCTCTCTCTCTCTCTCTCTCTCTCTCTCTTTCTCTTTTTTTATTTTTTTGCAGTACTGAGGTTTGAACTCAGGGCCTACACCTTGAGCTACTTCAACAGCCCTTTTTTGTGAAGGATTTTTTTCGAGATAGGGTCTCAAGAACTATTTGCCCAGGCTGGCTTTGAACTGCGATTTTATTGATCTCTGCCTCCTGAGTAGCTAGGATTATAGGCGGGAGCCCCCAGGACCCGGCTCTTGCTTCTCCTTCTCTTTTAGGAACACTAGATTTTCCCACCACTACCTTTAGGCCCCTGTCCTGGACCTCTGGGAGGTGGGTGGAGGATGACTCTGAACTCCAAGGTGTCTAGAAGGCTCAAATGAGCCTGCTTTTTGATGCTCACTAGCTGTGTATCACCCTGATCTCTGTACTCCAGGGTCTCAAGCAGCTCTAGGAAGCAAAGCCTTCCCCCACCCCTACTATAGTTCACTGGGAGCCCCAAGTTCCCAAGCCTCAAAGCTGCTCTGAGCCTGACCCAGGCACACCCACCAGCGCTTCCCCTTGCTCCCCTTCCTGGCACTGAGAAGGTATTCATTTCCAGTTAGTCCTGCTGTGCCTGTGGCTCTGTTTGTTTCTAATAATGCATGAGTAACCTGGTTATTTCCAAAGTGGCAAGGGCCTCACTCATTTTGTCCCCTTCCCCAGAAAAGATGAATAGAGTGAATACAAGGGTGGGCAGAAACTAAGGAGCCCTCTCTCTTCCTTCTCTACCAAGGCCATGGCTACCTCCAACTCCCTGTGCGTCTGTTCCTTCCTTTGACGTTCAACAAATGTTTATTTAACATTGACCACATACCAGGCACCATGCGGACACTGAGTGACGAGTGAGGACAGGTCCTGTCCTCAGGAAGCTGAGGGGCGGGAGTAGGAGGGGGGGATGGCCAGCAAGCAAACAATTCTAGTGCAGGGTGATGAGTGCTGTGATGGGGGAAGTACAGGACCCTAGCAATCTAAAAGACTAGGAGATCTCTGAGTCCTGTAGGAGAAGCCAAGAGAAGCAGGACAAAGAGAGGGGTCAGTCAAAAGATGGAAACCCAAAAGTAGGGTTCATATTATCCTGGAGTTTGTGGGGAGGTTGGGACAATTTATTTCCCACATGGAGTTTGGGCTTTGTTGGACTGTGGCAGCTGAAGGGAGGGGACATAGTAGACTGGCAAGTTTTGCCTCTAGGAATTGATTCTGGCTACAGTGAATTTTGGAGTCATCCCCAGAATCCAGCCAGGGCTCTGCCATTTACCAGCTGTGTGTGTACCCTGAGCAAATAATTTCCCCCCCAGAACCCCAGGGTCCTCATCTCTAAAATGCAGATAGCAACCTGAGGATCAAGATGAATATTTACATGGAGCACCTAGAACCTAGAGGCACAGTGGGTGGGAGAGAAGCTGTGAAGTTGTTCCTACCCCTGATTTGGGTCGCTCTCTTCCTTTCTTGGCTCCTCTGTGATCTACGGACATTCTCACCATTGTTTATCAGGGAAAGATCACATGGAGAAGCTAACAGAGTGGCCAGGAAGCAGCCTGGGTGGGACAGGGTTGGAGCCTGAGTATATTCTCAACGCTATAGGGGGTACCAGGGTAGAGCCACACCTAGGTAGGGGGAACCCAACTGGGAACCAGCTAGCTGACAAATCCTTCCCCAGAGCTGAGGCCCCTGACCCCCAGTGCTGCTCCCTGTAAGTGGTCCTACTGCCCATGCCATCCTTGACTCTGCCAAAAGGGAGGGGAGGTGGATAATGCCAGCACTAGAAACGGTGTGACCAGGAAGCCAGCAGGCTGCCCTAACCCTTACGTGGAACTCCTTACCCACCATCCTGTCTGTTTTTCCAGGACCCAGGAAGCCAGCCATCCTTAGCCCTCACCTGCATAACTATGGAAGCGCTGGGTCCTGGGGGCGACCGTGCCTCCCCGGCCCCATCCACTCGAAGCCTAGATGTCCGGCGGCTGTCCACGCACGCCGACTCAGCCTATAGCTCCTTCTCCGCGGCCTCTGGTGGCCCTGAGCCCCGCACGCCGTCGCCGGGCCACGATCTGGTTCCTTACCTGGACTGGGACTACGTGCGTGTGGTGTGGGGCGGCCCGACGCCCGCGCCGTCGGAAGCAGTGCCGCGCGCCACCCGGCCCCTGCCCGCAGTCGCCGCACACAGTGGGCCGCGACCCCGAGAGGTTCAGGGGACCCCGGGGCGACTCAGCAGACAGGCCACCCCGCTGCTGTACGCGCTGGCCGCGGAGGCTGAGGCTGGGGTGCGGACTGCAGAGCCGCCCAGCCCACCAGCCTCACGGGCCGCCTACCGCCAGCGCGTGCAGGGCGCGCAGCGGCGAGTGCTCCGGGAGACGTCCTTCCAGCGCAAGGAACTCCGCATGAGCCTGCCCGCCCGCCTGCGGCCCGCAGTCCCCGCACGGCCTCCCACGGCGCACCCGCGCTCCGCCTCGCTCAGCCACCCCGGCGGGGACGTGGGGCCCGCGCGATCCCCGGCTCCCGCGCCAGGAACTGCCGGCCGGGGGCACCTCGCCAACCAGCAGAGGAAGTGGTGCTTCTCGGAGCCAGGAAAGCTGGATCGCGTTGGTTGGGGCGGTGGGTCCGTGGGGGAGGGCTTGAGTGGGGTCTGCGCCAGCGCACGTCCCGCCAGGCCTGAACCCCCGGAGTTGTTGCATGGTGGGGTGCGGACTGAGTTCAGAGGGCTGCAGGAGGCCCAACCCCGAAGATCAGCGGAACTGGACCCCAGATCTGTGAAGCCTGGCAGTGCCTATAGGCCCGCCAGTCAGAGTTCTTCAGGAGAGGTCGTGGGTCCCTGGAGAGGTCCAGGAGGAACCATGGCCATTGTTCAGGTATGGAAGATAATGGATGCCGGATGGTTGGAGAGGGGAGTATCTTGGAGATGGCTACATTTTAGTCCACTGGTCACCTTTCTAGGCTTGTCCCCAAGGAGCAGAAACCCCAAGACCGTTGTTTCAGACCAAACTTTCCAGGTGAGAGACAGAAGCCATTCTGGGGACAAAGTTGTGGAGAGGTTATCTTTCACAGCTTTTGCTGAAGAAAGGAGCCAGTGTGGCTCTACCTACCCTTAGTTTGAGTCTTCTGATTAGTTTTGCAAACGGCACACCCTACTGTTTCCCTTCCTGGTCACTGTAGTCAGTGTGGGGTTCCTGCCTGCAGGTTCTTGACTCAGAAGGAGGCTGCAGTGGTGTGTTCTGCAGAGGTCCCCCAGAGCAGCCCAGCCAACTGTGAGCAGAGGGTCTCAGAGACCTGTGCTGCATCTATCCCGCTGGCCTCTCTTCCTGATGATGATGTGTTCCTGGAGGAAGCTCTGCCAGTCAGGAGACCACCTCCAGACTCCTGCTCCCCACACTGGCTCCCAACCAGGTGAATTTCTGGTTGTTTGCAAGCAGGGTGAGACATTCCTCTCACACATACACATCTAGACAATGCTAGAGGGGCAGGGAACCCTCTCCTAGCTGGAGCCTGGAAACCCAGGGAGTGAAAGTGGGGGCAGGTGGCCATTGAAGGCCACTACTTGTCTGTAGCCAGAGATTTTTCTCATTCTGTATCTCTTCTACTTCCAGTGTACGTGCTTCTGACCATCAGTATGAAAATGGCTTGACCCAAAGGGCTGGCCAGGCTACAGTCCAGGAAGAGTGCCCCCTCCATGACTCTACAGGGACAAATGACTGCTGGCAGGGAGTGAACAGTTCCTTGGGTGTCTCCAGGCCCACAAGCTGTAGCCCCTCTGGGACTGCAAATGGAGACATCTCAACCATTGACCCCACTGAACTGCTGACCACTGACCTCTCTGTAGCTGCAGAGAAAGACCCCTTCAAACCTCCCCGAGTTGATGCCCCTGGACCTTTAGGCAATGATACTCCAGGGCCCCCTTATCAAACTTCTGTGACCTGGGGCACTGGCCAGCCTGGTTCCAAGCCAACATGGCCTACTCAGCGTCTGGAACAGCTGGTTCAGGAGCTGGCTAGACTGGATCCCTCTCTGAGGGACACTCTTGCCTCTCAGCCCAGCCCAGAGCCACCCCTGGGCCTGCTGGATGGGTTGATTCCTTTAACAGAGATCAGGGCTGCAATGAGACCAGCCTGTAGGGAGGCTGAAGAGGAGACTGTTGGTACTTCTGAGCCAGGGTGAGTGACAGGCACCAGGGGACTCAGGATTCTAAGACTCTTCCGTCTGGGGCTAGACAACCCAGGGAGCTCTGGCTTTGTCCCCAGGTCATATCAATTCAGCTTCATCCAGCATCTCCCAACATCTCAGGAGGAAATAAGGCCTGAAAACTCAACACCACACGCTGTACTTGACCAGCCATGTGGCCAGGGGCTCCCTGCACCAAAAAATAGCATCCAGGCCAAGAAAGTGAGTATGGGAGGGCTGGAGAAGGCTGGCCAGCCTGGGTAAAGTTAAGGGCCTTCCCCTGGACCTTGAGTACCCAGACTCTCCCTGCAGGTGGAGCTAGCAGGCCTCCTTCAAAAGATTCTGCAGGACCTTCACAGAGAGCAGGAGCAACTGCAGGGGGCGGATGGAGCATGGGTCAGACGCAGAGCGGCTCTGGAGGCTGCGGTGGGCCAGGCCTGTGCCCCCCGGGAGCTAGAGCGGTTCAGCAGGTTCATGGCCGATCTAGAGCGCGTGCTCGGCCTCCTGCTGCTGCTGGGCAATCGCCTGGCCCGCGTGCACCGCGCTTTGGCCACAGTGGGCTCAGACGGAGACCCTGAGGAGCGGGTAAAGGGAGTTCAGGCTGGGGAAAAGCTGGGCGGAGAGGGGCCTGCCCTCTCTGGTTGGGACCATACCGAAATAGCGGTGCTCATCGCGCTCTTTTCCCGCGGCTCCAGGCCTCCCTGCTGCAGCGACTCCGGCTTCTGCAGAGGCAGCAGGAAGACGCCAAGGAGCTGAAGGAGCACGTGGCGCGGCGCGAGCGGGCCCTACGCGAGGTGCTGGGCCGGGCACTGCCTGCGGAGGAGCTGCGCGCCTACTGCGCCCTGCTGGCCGGCAAGGCCGCCGTCCTGGCCCAGCAGCGCAGCCTGGAGGAGCGTGTCCGACTCCTTCAGGACCAGCTGGACGCCATCAGTAGCGATCTCAGCCATCGCCCTCTTTCTTCCAGTCTGTCTTGGCCCCCTGAGACCTGTTTTCCAGATAAGCCGTCCTTCCCTGCTTCTCCTGTCTAGTTGCAGGTTTGGGGGGGGATGGGGAACATCTCCCCTTCCTCACAATTGGGGCCATGCTGGTTTATTGAGTGCTTTCCCTTGAGGGAGCCTAGAGGACCCAGACGGGGGTCTTCTCGTGATGCTCCTTCCCAGTGTTCTTATGTGGCCTTATCCAAGTTTTGTGGGGTTTGGGGAATTAACTTATAGATCTTTAAAACTATTTCCCCCCCCTTTTTTTGGTATTTCCCTTTGTTTGTGCTAGAGGAGAGTTCTGTCAGGCTTGATTAGAAGGAGAGAGACAAGTCAGAGGAGCACTTTGGCTTAAGGTGCAAAATGACCTTATATTTTATTTCAATAAAAACTTCTAAGAGAAGTGTCACCTGCACACAGATGGGTGAAAGAGGGGAGGGGTCTTGTTGACAAACTGCAGCACCAGTCCTGGCTGACCAGGGCAGAAGAGGGACTTGGCAGAACATCGGGACAGGCGATGTCTAGGAAGACTGGAGACCCAGGATTGAAAACAGGAGGGACCTAGTGACGCTGGGCCCTCAACTCCACTGCTACCAAGAATCCCTAACTGCCTTTTGTCTCCACTATCACAAAAGCCATTATCACAGTGTCTTCTTAGTTGGCTTAAACAAGCCCCCAACTTCAGTAGTAGAAGTGGGGGTACTGCCTTACTTCAAGACTCAAGGGCTGGGTGCTAACTGGCTCACATTTGTAATCCTAGCTACTGGGGAGGTGAGATCAGGAAGATCTAGGTTTGAGGCCAGCCAGGGCAAATAGTTCTTGAGAATCCCCCTTTCCAAAATAATCAGAGCAAAATGTACTGGCGGTGTGGCTCAGACAGTAGAGTGCTTCCTATGCAAGGGTGAAGCCCTGAGTTCAAAACCCCACCAACAAAGTAAAACAAACCCAGGAACAGGGAATTCCATCAAACTGAAAATGGGTACAGGTGTTTTGCTGGGTAAAAACCCTGACAGAGTCAGGCATGGTGGCTTACATCTGTAAGCCTAGCTACTTAGGAGGCTGAGATCAGGAGGATTGTAGTTGAAGGCCATTCTGGGTAAGAAAGTTAACGAGACTCCATTCCAACCAATAAAAGGCAAGGGCTGTCATCCCAGCTACATGAGAAACACAAATAGGAGGGTCAATGTCGGAGCATAAATATGATACCCTATTGGAAAAATATCTAAAGCAAAGAGTGCCTGCCTATCGAGTGGAAAGCTCTGAGTTCAAACACCAGTACTGCAAAACAAAACAAAACAAAAATCTCTGACAGATGTTCAATACACTTGAACACATAGGAACATTCATTCCAAGACTCAGAAACAACTTTCTTCTTCTGATTATGTTATCAAAACTTAGTTTGGGCTGAGGATGTAGCTCAATGATAGAGCACTTTCTAGCATGTGTAAGTTGCTGGGTTTGGTCTTTAACACACACAAAATATGAGTTTAGAGCTGGGCTCCATGACCCAAGTCCCTTAGGAGGCTGAGGCAGGAGAATTTTGCTTGAGTTACAGACCAGCCTGGGCAACATAGACACCCCTCCCCATTTCAAAACACAAAACAGAAACAGAGAAACAGGGCTAGGGATGTAGCTCGTGTGATAGATTATTTGCTTAGTAAGTATGAAGCCCTGGTTCAATCCTCAGTACTAAAAGAAAAGAGAAAAACCACAGATAAAACTGAGCTTATCCAGTTCTCTTTCAGAGACCCCCATTGTGTTAGCCAGGTTTGAGGAGGGCAGTTGAGGGTGGGAGTTGAAGGTGAGGGGTGGGGCCAGTTCCATGTGAGCGCTGAGAGCCTGGAGAGGCAGCTGAGTTGTACTGTAAGCCAGACGGACTGATCCTGGGGTGGTATGGAGTGGCATGACACACAAGACAAACTCTCCTCCATTCGTGCATTAGCCCTGAGCACACAGAATCAGGTTTGCAGATATACATGTGAAATCTGCTTCAGTATTGTAGCTGCAAACACCAGTGTCAGGCATATTGTTCTGCAAAGGTTCAGGGTATTTTTGGAAGTTGAGCATATTAAAAGTGTGTGTGTGTGTGTGTGTGTGTGTGTGTGTGTGTGTGTGTGTGTGTGTATTTAAAGCCTATTGACCCCAGAGTGAGAAATCTCTGCTTCTGGGCTTGTTTTCTGATGTGTATTGTCACTAAGTGCAAGTGGTTGGGAATTTTAAATGGTGGTATTCATACCAGAAGCATTAGTTACAACAGTCGCGCTATTGAGTACAGAACAATACTGACTTTGTGCCTTTTTATAAAAAGCATATGGAGCTCCTGCTGAGGCCTTTGCGGGTTCTAACATTATGCTTTGCTTTTTTCCTTTGAACACTGTGGGCGGGGCCTCGCTTCCAAGCTCCTCATCGCTCAGAGGCCGGTTCTGGATGGAAGCTACTCATTTCTCCTTTTGCCCTGCACGCTCGCGTTATGATATTCTTAGAAACACACTTAACGTCGTTTCTTGAGCCAATGGGAATTGTGCATTTCAGACAAAGCACTGCCAGCCTGGGCTGAGAGTGGGGAGCCTGGGGGTGGGAAAGGGGGCGTCTGCCATCCTCCGGTTAAACTGAACTTTGGTTCTGCGCTGGGGGCTTATGAGGCTTCTGTGCTTGACCCTGCCAGATTCGGAGAGCTTCCAAAGACCCGTCTTTCTGCGCCACTATTTCCGTCTAGCCTGCCCCCCTCTTGCCGCGGTTTTTCTGTCGTCCATTCCGTTATTCCTTCAGAGGGCAAGATGAGCACAACACAGAAACCTCAAGACTTTTGGGGGAACCTGAACCCCGGGGAACTGACCCTGCAGGACACTGCCAGAAGAGGGCACTGTTCTCTTGGCGGTGAAAGCCTCTACACTAGTGCCTCCCCGCAGCCTCCCCGGCCAGCACAGTCACTGGCTTAGCCACAGGGACTTGGCCTCGATCTGCGGAGCTGTACCCCTATTGGGGTAAAAGCTGGGACTGAGCCTTTTGCTTCTGTCGGAAAGAAATTCTGGCCAGCCAGGCAGGGAAAGAAAGACTGGGTTTCTTTCCACTGCCAGTAGGCCTACGATGGCAAGTTGTTGGCTAATGCGAAGTGTGGGGGAGGGAGGCCGGGGGCGTGGATCCCGAGCATCGCGATCACAAAGAGCCTTGCGTAGTTTTCCAGGGTGGAAAAGAGGGTTCCGTCGTTCTCTTTTGGGGTGTCTGTCCCTCCCTCCCCTCCCCCTTGCCCGCCTGTGCCCTTGACTCCGTCGTGCCCCCGCCCTCGGCAGCCTGAAGCTGAGCCCTGCGACTCGGGGGAGGATTGGCTTCGCCTGGGGTGGTTGCCGGGCAACCGCAGCCCCGCCACGGCCTCCCGGCTCGCCTCCTCCCGCCCCCGCTGCTCCTCCTAATAAGGATTTAATTGGTGTACTTTTTACCTTCAGGCTAAATTGGAAACGGAATGGGAAAGCTGTGTTCCGCGGCGGCCCGAGCCCGCGCGCAATCTGTCTTGAACATCCGGCTGGGCACAGAACGTACTTCGGCGCCCCTGGCGCAAACCTCAGGGATCCTCAAAGGAACAAATGGCAGGGCTCTTCATTCAGATGTAAATCAGAAGCTAGGGAGGGAGTTTAGGTCAATGTAGTCGAGCACCGTGGGGAGAGGAGGTGAAAGGGGAGATTGGGAGCGTGGGGAGGCCAGAGGGACGCTTGGTATAAAGATACCCTCTCCAGAACCGCCTTCCGCCCCCGTGCTGTTTCTGTCGCAGCCTGGCTACTTCCTAGGCGGTCACAATGGCTGTTTATCTGTTGTCTTTGATACTTAAATCGGCATGCATTTCCCACTAGGAAAAACTTTTTTTCGTACGTGGGAGAGGTCTAGATCTTTTTTCCTCTTGTGGCAGGTACACGTCAAGCCAGCCTTGCGTCACAGGTTTAAGTCCGGAGGTGTGGCAATTCCCGACCAGGAGGCCAGCTCCTTAAGGCTAAAGACTCAGAGCCTTAGGGTATCTACTTATGCAGCCATTTAAAAGGGTCACGTAATTTATTCCAGGAAAAGACCCAAAAGAGGGGGGAGAATATGAGGCCTGGGTGGGCACAGCTTTAGAACTGTTGAGCAGTGGTTTCAGCCCCTCTGGGTGAAGGGCGAAGTTTAAGTCTCAAAAGTGAGGTAAGGTTGCTACAGAAATGTGGCTTAAGAAAGACATTGTTTCTATTTTAATTAAAGTTATCTCACATACAGAACACGGGATAATGTCCCTTTTGTGGGAATACAGTTTTCTTACTACAGTAAATTATTTATGTATGTAAATATTAGTATGATTTTAAAAAATGGTGTTTCTTTTAAGCAAATCAGGGCTACGTGGTTTGGGAATGTAGCCCAACTCTGCACCCCTGGTACTACTGCCTCTGGTCAGCAGTTCAGTTCTGGAAGAACTTGGGTTACTTATTCCATAGGTTGCTCCCTCCCCACAGCCCTGTTGGGAAGGTCCTGCCCCTCTCTTGTCCCACAGAGGAAGGAGATGTAAATCGCCTCAGGTTTGGAGAACTGGGAGACTTGCCCAAAGTCACTAAATGAGTAAAGGACTGAGATGAGACCACCCTGCTTCCAGAGACAAGACAGTGTAATGAAAAAGGGTCCAGGATGTCATTCCACTCTGCTGCCAACCAGCTGTGAGGCTTCATTCTTCAGGCTTCAGTTTCCTCACTTGAAAATCCAGATGCTAAGCATGTCTATCTTGTAAGATTGGTTAATCTTGTAAACTCCAAACTGCGAGGCGCTTACAACTGTGCCTGGTTAATAAACAGCTTATGTATGCATCATCCAGGGCCTGGCTCTCCCTCCATTAGGCAAGTGAGGCTTGCTCAGGAATAGCTCCCACCTCCATTAAAGGAATGTAAAACTTTATTAAAAAGTTTGCTGTGGTTATGACTCACACATAGCTACATCAACAATTAACCTCTCTTCCATTAAAAGTCATTCTCCCATAACAATTCTTACCACCTAAATTGTCTTAACAGTTAATTTTTTTTGGGGGGGCAGTCGTTGGGCATACCATTCCACAGGCATGCCCACTGCTAGGCAATTTATGTTGCTTTTTTTCTTTTTTGGTGCTGGGATCAAACCCAGGGCCTCAGGCATGCTAGGCAAGCACTCTGCCACTGAGCTACATCCCAGCCCAACTTATGGTTCTTTTTAAAAATTAAATATATGGTTCTTGAAATCCTTCTGTATGCATATCCAACTATGATATTCTACTGACTTACCTCATAGTTTCAGAAAGTCTTGGCCTGCAAGGAAATAGCTGAGTTCCAGGGTTTTTTTTTTTTTGTTGTTGTTGTTGTTGTTTGTTTCTTTGTACTGGGATATGAATTCAGGGCTTGTGCCACTCCACCAGCCCTTTTGTGTGTTGGATGTTTTTGAGATAAGGTCTTGTGAACTATTTGCCTGGGCTGGCTTCAAACTATGAATCCTCCTGATCTCTGCCTCCTGAGTATCTAGGATTACAGGTGTGATCCACCAGTGCCTGGCCATGAGCTCCAGGTTTATCCATCCTACATTCTTGCCAAATATTTTATTTCACTTGGAGGTTTGCAGGACACTCTTAAGAAATGCAAAGATTCTTCTGACAGCTCAAATAACTCTTCTCTTATGTAAGTGTGCAATAAACATTAATTATTATTACTACTTTGTTAGCTTAGATTTTGTCTTTCTCAAAGCAAACCATAACTGTGTCTGTGACCTTTGTCACTCTCTCAATCAGGCCTCTCCTTTACCACACAAAATCACTAATATTTCATTCTGTCTTCTAGATCTTCAGCTACTCAAATTGCTGTAATTATTGCCTCCTACAATTTTTCTGCAAAGGCAGTTTTAATCTGCATATTAAAATAATTTATGTAAACTAGCTACAGTTTCAGGCAATGAAGGTAGGAAGGTCAGGTTGGGGCCTATATTTATCTACAGTTTTTGCCTACCATATCCATGTGTGGTTGATTCTTTACTTTGCAGGGAAATCTAAAGTTTTTGAATAATAGATTGCTTGAGAGAGGAAGGGGAAGAGTGAGGGAAAAAGAAGAAATTAAGTAGGTAAAAGGAAAAGAAATACACAGTAGCAAAAGCTGAAATATGTTTAAGGGAAGTACATCTCACACAAACAGGAATAAACTGGGAGGGATGTTTATTTCATTGCTTAAGTGAAAACACACCATGAATGGCTGCCTTTAATAATTTCAAAAGCCTCACTCACATGTATAGCAGAGGAAGCCCCACTACCTCGTGCCACAAAAATCATTTGATACAACTAATGACATGCAAACATATTTTTTGCAAAAGCAGAGTATTATCGCAAGATGATATAAAAAGTTAGCTGAGCAAATAAATCCCACATCTTTAAAACAGAAAAAAAAAAAAAAAAAAAGCTAAACCTGGGAAACCCTGACAATCTCTACAAGCTGTCTCAATTTACAGACAGGACCAACGGTCCAGAGAAGTTGATCTATTTGCCCAAGATTCTACATTTGTTATTTTAGAATAAAATGCTTTCAAATGGTTTTGAAACATGTATCACATATTTTCTGTTTGTTCAGAAACTTCATACAAAAGAGTTACGCCTTAATGATATTGATTAGTATTTCATCAGTTTTTTTTTCTGGTGTAATGCTGTGACTTTTTTTTTTTAATAGTTACTCATTGCACTGAAAGGCTCAGCTGGATGTGAAAACCACAGATTGGGCAAATTGGCACAGCAATGCAATTCACAAGCAAATCCCAATTTTAAAAATCAAACATCCATGCCAAACAAAAATAGCCACCTATTAGTGCCAAATACAGGTTTACATTCCATCATAGTTTAAAGTGTTAAAATGTCTTTTTTCTCTGTTAAATCGCTTTTACTCTCAACGTGTACTTGCTTCCTAATATTTAGCACTCACAGTACAATTGAAATTTGTTACATTCATAAGAGTCACAATGGCCATTCTGTGTTCAAGACTCTCCAGAATATTGATTGCCTAAAATGAGGTAGATAAAATTTTAAAAGAGTTTTGTTGGTTGGGATTTATTTCCTTTAGATTTTGATCATCTATTATTTTTAAAATGGAATTCCAAAATATCTAAGACTGAAAATGTCTGAGCATTTTGCCTGAAAATGGAAAAAAATATAACTTCAAAAGGTTATTATGAAAGTTGTTTTACCTCATTTCAATTTAAAAACAGAATTAAAGCATCAAATTACAAAACCACCACATATCTTAAAGATGACAAACAAGCCAACATCTTCCAACACTTAAAGAGACTCTGGCTCTAGTTCTGGCTTGGGAGTGTATAGACGTGGAGGCATCTGGTTGACTCATTCCTGGGGGCCAGACCAGCTGCTGCCCCTTAACCTTTGACCCTAAATTTCAAGTCTCCTTTAGAGTTCAGGCCTGACTGCTGGGTTCCTTCATAGGAGCCTCTCACTGGGATCTTGATCGCATCTCTGGATCAAGTTTCAGTCAGAAGGTGCAGGTGCGAGCCCATCTGGGTGAAACAGATGGAAATTGCAAACAAGATGGGGCTGCAGGTGGTGGGCCCTAATCTTGGGCAGGTGTAGACTGTGTGGGGCAGGCCCGGTTAGGTCAACAAGACCTTATCCCACAGGACCTTCAGGTTGCAGGTGGCACACTGGGCACTAAACCAGCTAAGGGCCCTGGGGTGGGTCGCCGAGAGATTTCTGAGAAGGCTGGCAGGCCACCACGGATCTTGGCCTTTTTTCTCGGAGCCATGGGCGAGGCGCCCAAGAACTTGCTAAAGGAGCTTGACTTCTTCAAGCCGCGGGCCAGATCCTGGAGCATCAGATCGTCGGCCAGGACGCCCAGAAACGCACTGGTGGTGGAACCAAGGATGGTAGCGGCCACCTGCACGGGATGCCGTGCCGCCAGGCTACCACTTCCACCACTGGGTGCATCCAGCTCGGTGGCGCCTCGAAGGTCAGGGTCACCAAGGAGGCGTCGCAGCGCGTAGGAGGAGCCAGGCCGCAGGTACTGGTAAGCGCGACGCCCGCTGTGGTCGCGCAGGTGCACGTGCGCACCCAGACTTACCACTAGCAGCACAGCGGCGTCCTCCTGGCCGTGCAGAGCGGCCAGATGCAGAGGCGTGTAGCCGCCATGCGAGCGCGCGTTCACGTCGACCGGAGCGCCCCCACGCCGCGCGACCTCCACCAGTTGCAGGGCCATCTCGCGGTCGCCGCTCTTGGCGGCCCAATGCAGGGCCGTGAAGCCAGATATGAAGTCGCGCTTGGCGGCCAGGCCGCGGTCCCGCAGCAACAGCCCATGCAGCTGGTGGGTCCAGCGGCCACTGGCCGTCCTCACCAGCCACTCGTGCTCGGTGGGCTCCAGCGGCACCGCGGATGGCGGCGGCGCTGCGGCCACCTCCTCGTCGGGGCTCAGAGGCGCAGGCCGACGCGTGACAGTCGCCGCAGGTGCGGGGAGCGGCCCGGGCCCAGGCTGAGGCCCAGGCCGGACTCCTCCACCGAGAGCCGCCTCAGGAGCAGTGGGGAGCTGCGCGGACTCGGCTCCTCCGACAGCTGCCGGCGCAGGCCTTGTTCCTCCGCCCGGACCCGAAGTGCGGCGGGGCCCGGCACGCAGCGCACCGGCAGCATGCAGGGCTTCTGCGGCGGAGCGTGCAGGACGGGAGGTGGCGGTCCTGTCACCGCCCTCGGCTCAGGCTCCGGATCTGTAGGCTGTGCGCGGGGCACGGCTGCCTCCGACGGCGTGCTCGCCGCGGGGACCGAGTCCACAGACAGTCCCTCCGAGACCTGGGCTAGTTCAGCCTGGAGATCGGCGGGTGCCCCGGGCTGCTGGGCCGGGTCCACCGACAGCTCCGCAGTTGGCTGGGTAGGCTGAGAGGCCGGGACCCCAGTGGGGTCCTGTGACTCAGATGGCGGGGCAGGATCCTCTGGTGGTGGCACCGATCGCCGCTCCGAGGCGGAACATGGAGCTCCCGACGCATTGCTTTCCCCTAGCGGGACGCAAGTGCTGATCGACGGCGGGGCTGGTGGCCCAGAGATGCAAGGGGGCGGGAGCTCTGGTCCCGCCGAAGGCCGAGGCTTCTTTCTCAGCACCACGAACTTGACGCCGTCGAACTCCTTCACCACCGCTACGTCATTGACGAACTGCTTGAAGCGGTCCCTGCGGGCGGCGCGGCCGCGCGGGTCGCCGGCTTCCAGCAGCGGCTTGAAGCGGTTCAGCAGCTCCGAGTTGCGCACTTTCCCGCCGTGCTCCTTGCAGGAAGCCCAGCACCGCCGCCTGGCTCACCCCGGCGGCCGCGGCAGCTGCAGCGGCCGCTAGCGCCATGGTCGGTCCCCGCAGCGGAGGGGAGGCGCGGCCGCGCGCTCACGCGCTCTCGGTTCCCTGCGGCTGGGCAGGTGCACTGCGCGCCACTGGTTGGGACTCGAGGGATCAGATCAGGGGTTCCGGGAGTGACGTCCGCCTGGGCTGTGCTCACCTGGTGTTCCCGAAGCTGGACCTTGGTCACGCCCGCGCCGCTGCGCCAGGATGGCTCTGGGCAAAGGGCACTGGGGGCCGCGGCAAGGGCCCTCCGCCAGCGCCCCGCCGGGCCCCCCACCTCCGGGGAAGGTTTCTGCCTTTATATTCTGTCCAATGGGCGCCAGGCTCCATGCCCGTGCGCTGTGCTCGCCTTACAGGTGACAGCTGCCACTGGCGCTGCGGAGGGAAATGGGGGAGCGGAAATTTTCCACGGTGCCCCCACCCCAACCCCGGAATTAAAGGCGCAGCACCGCCCTGCAGTTCAGCTCCCGGTTGCTAGGTGCGTGTGTTCCCCAAGGATGTGCGGTGGATTGGTGAGGCATGGATATTCATTCCTTAATATTTAACACCCATGAAACAAAAGCAATGTAGTTTTTAAAGACCATCAGTACCGCTCCAGTTTTCGATTGCATTTCATATAGGGAAACATCCTCACGCAACTTACAGCAGTCACAGAGTTTAGAAGAGATGCTTAAAAAGCATTTTCTCATGATAAAATAATCTTTTCTTTTGAGACAGTGTCTTGCTATGTAGCCCAGACTGGTCTTCAACTCTCCATCCTCCCATCTTAGCCTCTCTAGGGCTGGGCTTACAGAAGTGTATCACCACACTAGCAAAGTAATCCATTTTCACATAGAATTTTGGGAATAAACCCACAGGTAAACATAAAGAAAAAAACCGTCATAACTTTTTGAAATATTTTCTCTCCACCATGTGCATGTATGTGTACACACACACTTTAAAATATGAAAGCAAAATTGGAGTCACTTCAGTGCTAGATATGAAACCCAAGGCCTCCGGAATGCTAGGCAGGCACTCTGCCACTGAGTCACACCGCCAGTCCATGCTATGATTTAAAAACTTCATTTATTCCACAAATTCATTGAGCACATAATTTGTGCCAGGACCTTTTCAGGCTGTGACAAATGTTAGCAGAGATTTAAAAATCCTGACCTCATTTGTCCAGAGGGAACAGAAGTAAGATGGTGAATACTACGCTACATAAATTGTAGCATATTGTATAAATACCATGGAAAAAATACAGCAGGGTGAAACAGAAGAGGGACAGGTTGCAATTTTGAACTGAGTGGTCAGGGTAGGACTCATTGTGAAGGTGACATTTAAGCAAGGACTTGAGACCAGGAAGTTTGTAGATGAGAAAGCTTTCTTAGTAGGGGAAATCACTAGGGCAAAGGTGAGGTCAGTTTCTTAAATTTCAAACACCACTCTATGAACATCTGACACATATGTAACCAGGGGCAGCGTATTGCAGTAGTTAGGAAAAGAAGATGTTAGAGTCAGAACTCCATACCTGAATCCTGGCCAACTTGCTTGACCTGTCTGCTTGCTCCGAAGGAGTTTTACCACCTGAGGCATGCCCCCAGCCCAGAAAACTAGTTTTTAATTATAAATAATGTATCCGTTTTACTTAAGGATGTAAGTGGAAAATAAGTATCTCTCTCCCATTTAAAGGAGAATTTTTAGGATCAATATACCTTGAAGTTTCAAGCATTCAACATTAGAGTGAGGCCAGTAACCTTGGAAGAAGTCCTTGTATTTTTTTTAAACACATGATGATGCTGTAATCAGCTGTCATTTGTGTCTGAATATGACCTCTACTTCAAACCCACCTCAAATCCAGTCCCTGCAAAACCTTGCACCCGCCCCAAGTGTGTCATGCCTGCACTTTTCCTATAATTTCTTCCAGAAACAACGATTGAATATCTTTGGGTGTAAGGCAGTGACGAGACAGTCTGGGAAGAAGGTATAACCTGGTCTTTGAAGACCTTTCCACTCAGTGCTGTGGAGACAAGCATACGGTTGATCATGCTACCTAGCCTCCGAAGGGGACCCTCCAGGTGCTGTGTACATGTGTAGTGGGTATTGACTCTAGAGGAGGGGTGGAGAACCTCGGATGTCCTCAAGAAGCAGGCTGTGAGACCAGGACAAGGCGAAGGCTTGAAGTGGGATTGTGAAGGCTGAATTCATGGCCTGTATATCTAGTGTGTTTGCAGTTTAGGGTGTATACCAGAGTTATAGAAGATAATGTTGGAAAACTAATCGTGTCATGGGTGGCGGACCTTAAATGCTAGTTTGGACTTTATCTTGCTTGCAGTAGATGGCCACGGAAAGCTTGCTTTCTCTTTCTTTTAAACAAGTAGCTTTAATTATTCTCTGATTATAAAATTAGTAATGATGCTTTCTTAATTCACAATAGTTTCCAAAACACATAAAGAACATATTAGAGAGCCACTCTTTAATTTTTAAAAAGTTATTCTAATTATCTTGTATTAATTGTACAAAGTGAGGGGTTTTATTGTGATATTTGCATACGTACATATAATGTGCTTGATTATATTAATCTCCCCTACTCTACTGGAGTTTGAATTTAGGGTTTTGTGCTTGCTAGGCAGGCACTCTATCACTTGAGCCACCAGCCCTCATTTGTTACTTTTTTACAATTTTTATTAGTGCACGTTAATTGTTCAAAGGGGTTTCATTGTGATATTTCCATAGTTTGTACAATGTACTTGATCAATTGCATCTCCTCTATTATATTCTTCTCCCCCCCTTTCTCAAACAGTATTTAGTGAATTTCATTAGGCTAGTCTTTTTTGGGGGGTGGTATTGGGGTTTGAACTCAGGGCCTCATACTTGCTAAGCAGGTGCTCTACCTCTTGAGCCACTCCACCAGCCCTTTTTTGTGTTTTTGTTTTTTGTTTTGTATTTTTTGTGTTTTTTCTTTCTTTCTTTTTTTTAAGATAGGGTCTCATGAACTATTTGCCCAGGTTGGCTTTGAACTGCAATCCTCCTAATCTCTGCTGATCTCTGCCTCTTGAGTAGCTAGGATTATAGGCATGAGCCACTGGTGCCTGGCTTAGGCCATCTTCATATATAAATATATGCATAGTACTGGGATCATATTCTCCTCCGAGAACCCTTTCCTTCCCTTTCCCTAGAGAGCCACCTTTTGGTTTAGACTGTGAATTCTTCTCTGTACATCCAACAGTATCTATATAGTGGTATATACCATTCCATACACACTGTTTTATAACCTATGCTTCTTTACTAATTGCCTTGATCAATGCTGGTGTGACAAATGGGTGGAAGTGGGGTCCTTAGAGAGGTGATGGCAAGGTCCTTGTGAGAGATGGTGAGGGTCACTGAGTGTGGGCAGGTATCAAAGACATTTCTAAAGCAGAACTTGCGTTCTATTGCCTTACTTTCATTTTTAAAGTCACAGTGCCTTTGTTGTGCTTTTCATTTCAGTGACTATTTTTATATCTTATTTTATTGGCTTTCTTAGGGCAACTTACTGAGGCCTTTGAAAAGTCTTTTCCATGATCACATTGATAGTAGTCTCCAGGGGAGAGAGAGGAGGACTCCCCTGCTGAAGACCACCACTGATTTGTATGGTTTGAGCTCTGACAGTGTTCAAGAACAGACAGGGGATTAAACACTGACTGAACAGGAATTGCTGGCCGAAGCAAAGTTTATTGACAGATCTTACCAGGCTATAACAAAGATGCTTGCTCAAGGTCACAGTTAATAATTTGCTGAGCCCAAACTGGAACCCTAGGCTATCCACTTGTGCTCATTTATCCATGCAAGGTTAGAGCACCAATAAGTTAAAAATCAATACTCTCAATGTTAATAAATAAAGTACGGGAAACTCGTAAGAATCTCGCTTAAACCTTTTGGCAGGTGCATCTGAACATCCTTGGCGTTAATATTTCAAGTGATTGTTTCCAGTGTGAGCAAACATCAGGATGAGGATGCCAATGACAACCCGTTCCTCAGGCTGCTTTTTAATTTTGGTGCTCTCCTGCCAGGGAGGCCACTGAATCAATTCTTTCAGTGACCCAGCAATTTGCTTCTAAGCATTAGGAAAAGCAGATATAAAATGTGTATTTATAGCAAGGGGAAAATTCCATAATGTGCTTTGAACATGGGGAAGGCAATAGGGAGGGTATTTGTTTTTAACTCAGTCCCTTAAATTTGGAGGAGGTCAGGGTGGAAGGTCCTTTGAAGCTGTTAAAATCACATTATTATATAAATGTAAAATTAAAAAACTCCATACTCCTATTAAATTATATAATATTATATTCCCTATTTCAACCCCCACTGCCCTTGGAACTCCATGCCTAGGCTCCTCTGAGAGCCAAGGGGGTGCTTTCTGCTTGTGACTGTCTTGTCCTGTGTCGTGGCAATGCAAACCAGCCTCTCCCTGTGTGCTTGTCCATCACAGTCTGCCCCTTCTGTCCTCTTGTGTCTCATCAATGCACCATCATCCATAGAGAAGTGTCTCAGGTCCTGGGAGGCAGGAGCTCCAGGGACTTGAGGGGGATGGGTGCCCAGCAGTGGTTGCAAAGGGACTTTGCCCAGATAGCAAGCATTTGTAGTCATGACTTCCTTCCGGAACAAATCATGTTTTGTTCTTGCTTATAGGCCCAGGGGAAGCAAGAGTGGCCTCTCCTTTCTCATGCCTGAGGCTTGTTGTCCGGTCCTCTCTGAGGCCAAAGGGACTTTATTTCTAAATCTTAGTGACAAGTGTCAGACCATGTGCTTGTGATGTAAACTCAATTTTTCTATCTGGGATTCATTTTTCAGCTGCTTCTCTGATTGCTCAGTGGAGTGCTTGGTTGCTAGGTAGACAATAAGCAGGCCTTGCCCACGGAGACTTGGAAAGCTGCATGCTTGCTAGGTGGATTTCAAGCAGTCCTTGTCCTTTGCTACCCTTTTAGTCATCCTTTCTCACCTGTTTTATTCTAATATATGAGTTTTAATGGAAAAGATTCTACCTGTTC